ATATATATTTGTGTAATAAATGTATGTAGTAAGTACATACTGGTAACCTTTTTCACTCAAATCCTAATGAAACACCACAATTAGAATACGTTGGTTGCTGTTGAACCACATGTTGTATAAATAGTCACACCACCGAGACGAGGGAACACTCCCAACACGCTTCAGTGACGTCACTAGTGTTTACACTACACCAGCGGGTATAATTTGATGACATTACTTGAAGTGAATTGGCCTTATTTTAAAAAATCAAGGATGGTTGGTAAAGGACTACTGAGTCAGTGGGTAAGTGTCACATTTGGGGTACTGGTCTTATACAGCAAATAGAGCTCAAAAGCTACTTTTTAAATGGAAATTTGGGGGGGGCGTCTTATGCACCCCGCCGCTTTATAGGCCGTGATATACGGTAGGGTAATGGGTACAGGTGCCTCAATTTACGAAAGGGGTATGTTCCTGAAAACTCTTTTGTAATTCGAAGTCAATTTTCCCATTGACTACCATATGTGAAGCAAGATGTGTTTCTATGAAAAAAAGTCCCCCAAATGTAAAAATACCCATTTTTATGAATATTTGTTTATTTTTTTAATTTATTTTATTTTATTTTTATTTTTTGGTGGGGGCCAACAATACTTTCAAAGCTTATGCATTAATCATAATAACATTGATACAGTAGCTAAATCATTACAGTACAGTATCAAGTTTATTTAATCCATATAAGAATACTGTTTACAGTATTCTGCCTACAGTGAAACTAGGTTGTCGGTGCTTAGGGAGACAAGTTATAAATTTTTGCCTCATATTAGGTGGTCCGTCAGCCATAATTTTAGATCAATGCGGTATACAGCTCCTCCCCGAATTACGACGGGGCTAGGGATCCAAATCCAGGTCGTAAGTCGAAAATGCTTAAATAATACATAAAAAATCTAAAATGGGTGTCTCTTTTTCTTCTCAGCACCACAAAACTCTCACTTTTAAGCTTGCCAGCCATTTTAAAGTGAATTACAAACGAAAATTTTCTCTGTGTACTGATGTTGGGACTCGAAAATGTTTAATTTGACAAAATTTTGGTACGACTGAGGCAGGCCGTAAGTGCGGGTGGTCGTAAGTCGGGGAGAAGCTGTGCAATAGCACCTCAATATGACATATACTATACAAGTATATAATTAATAAATACTGTAATATAAAAATGTCTAACATTTGATAAAAAATAACTCCATAAATGCACAAGGAGCTTGGTGGGCTTCTGACCTGATGCCGCAAACACACGCAATAAACAGTTGAGGTTCAGCATGGTTTTCATAGTGACGCTTGTGGCGAGGATAGGATAAATACTTTTGTGTTTTTTACTGTATTACACCCATTGAGCAGTAAATGTGACAATTAAAAGAAAATACATGTTATACTAATAAAAAAAAATATACTGCATTGACATTTGGCAATATTTTCACAACACAGGGGACACAGAAGACAATAAACAGCTGAGATCACCCCCGTCACTCCCTCCTCCCCCGATCTGTGTGCTAACTCCTGCACATGAAGGGATGTTTATTCCCTTTGTTCTTGACCTTATGATAATTATTTTAATTTTTTATTTTTTGTGCATTCTGCATGAAAATTTGTGTGTGCATGAAACGTTAAAAAAAGAAAAAAAGTGAAGAAACATACTCACTCTGCCCCCGTGAAGAGGCAGACAGAGAACTCATCGTCTCGTGCTTTGGGGTTTCTCATGGCGCACACGTCGTCACAGCATATGCTGTGGCCATTCAGTCCAGAACCGGGCTCCCCTTTTGCCTTGTCTGCCCAACTCTGCAACCTGGCATTGTGGGGGATCACCAAGAAATTTTGAGTTGAAAAATAACCATAACATACTCATACCTCAGTCTGGTAAGGTGAAGGTTAGGGAGAGATGGCCAAAGTAACAAGTCTAACTTAGCATCATGCCACCAGGAATGTAAACATGCAATTAAAACACAGTTTTTAATTTCCATTTATATATAAGTACAGAAATGTTGCCACACATTAGCCTGCACTACTGTACACTGCCCACTGTGCATCTTCAGCATGGAATACTCTCAGATGCCTGTGTCAGCTACTCAGTATCTTCTGATGCTACAAAAAAATACTGTAAATTTTTTTGGTAAAAGCGGGGTTTTTTCCGTATAAGGAATCCCTGGGTTACGAACGGATTCCGTTCCTGAGGGTGTTGTTAAGTCAGATTTGTGTGAAGTCGGAACACATGCTATGTGCATCCCGTACTTACAGAACAATGTTTAAAATCCCACTGTATCATAGCCTAAGTCCTCAAATACATATAAAATCACTTAATTTAAGAGAAAAGAAATAGAATGACAAAATACAGTAAGTGAAAATAAAAAAATAAGTCATCAGGTAAATAAAATACTGTACTGTAAATTTCAAGTTTAACCCCGTTCGTATCGGTGGGCGTTCGTAAGTCGGAAGTTCATAAGTCGAGGACCCCCTATATATTGCTGGAAAAAATCGTATATAATCGAATTTTCGCAAATTCATGCAACATAAATCGAAGCATTCCTGTATTTGAAGCAGTGCCAGGGAAGGACCAGGTAGTATGAAGGAAGACAGTCCAGTTTTAAGGACGTCACTCCCAAAGCCTTATTGCCTCACAGAATTTTTGGTTGATGCGAATTATGTGATTGAATTGCATTTAGTTGCCACAAAAATCTATGAATAGTGGTTTATACTGTAGTTCTGTATTTGCCATAGATTAAAATATCATTACTGCACTGTGTAGAATATCATTGTAAATTATTATTTAATTTACATACGGGGGGGGGGGGGCAAATTTGGGGGGGGTAGGTTTCAAAATGGTCGCAAATCGCCAAATCCGTATACAGTATTACCCCGCCTAACGCGGTTTCACTTAACGCGTTTTATCATATACGCGGTGCCTCGCCAGAGCTGAACTTTCACTTAACACGGATTTTTTCCACATATACGCGGTGAGTGTCCGGCTCGAGGCGCTATTTTTAGATTTGACCCCACCCGCCACCCTGCCTGACTGCCTGTTTTAGCTCATAAAATTCATACAAATTACCTGGCCAGAATATAATTTACATTGCTGGAATTCTTATAATTTGGTGATCATTTTGAATATAAACATCATATATTTTGCATTAGACATACAAATTTTAGATAAAATTTTTTCTCTGGGTAACTATGTTATATTTTGTGCAAAATATATGACATTTATATTCAAAATATTCCTGGTCTTACAAGGAATCCAGCAATGTCAATTATATTATCCTAACTTTAGTTTGAGGTATTATTTATTACAAAAAAGTTAAGTATTCTGGTTTTCCCACACATCTCCTTGGGACGGTTGGTGGGGGGAGGGAGGGACCGACCGACCGACCATCTCTTACCCCGTGAAGAATATTTTTTTTTTTTTTATTAATTGAAGATATTTGTTTTAGCTCATAAAATTCATACAAATTACCCGGTCAGAATATAATTTACATTGCTGGAATTCTTATAATTTGATGATCATTTTGAATATAAACATCATATATTTTGCATTAGACATACAAATTTTAGATAAAAATTTTTCTCAAATTAACTGTTATCTTTTGTGCAAAATATATGACATTTATATTCAAAATATTCCTGGTCTTACAAGGAATCCAGCAATGTCAATTATATTATCCTAACTTTAATCTGAGGTATTATTTAATACTAAATGTTAAAAACTCTGGAAGGGAGGATTGGTGGGGGGTGGGGGGGAGGGTTGGGACTGACCGCGCGGTTGGAAGAGGGGGGAGGCAAGGTGGGGTACTTTGATTGACAGATAGTGTCGTGAAGATTATTATTTTTTTTATTAACTGAAGATATTTGTTTTAGCTCATAAAATTCATACAAATTACCCGGTCAGAATATAATTTACATTGCTGGAATTCTTATAATTTGGTGATCATTTTGAATATAAACATCATATATTTTGCATTAAACATACAAATTTTAGATAAAATTTTTTCTCTAGGTAACTATGTTATCTTTTGTGCAAAATATATGACATTTATATTCAAAATATTCCTGGTCTTACAAGGAATCCAGCAATGTCAATTGTATTATCCTAACTTTAGTTTGAGGTATTATTTTATTAAAATTTAGTGGTTTTCCCCCCAAAATTTCTCTGAGAGGGAAGAGCCGGCAGTGTAGTGAGAGGGGGAGGTAGTTGAGTCCATTATTTGAATGGACATTAACTTGGCGACTGTATTTCTCTATTTCTCTTAAGTATTAATTGTGTGCATGTACCATCATAAAATTAAGATGTTATTTTTACTACAACATAGGTATGTGCCTTCAAAAAGTGGAGTTTGGGGGTCGGATTTCACTTAACACGGGACCCTCTGGGTTCTATTGACCGCGTTAAGTGGGGTACAACTGTATAACATTTGCGGACCAGATGGAGTGGATGGTACATTTTTACTTGTGTACAAAGAATTGTATATTCCCTTTATGTGTTTGGCCTTAGGACAATTATTTCTTTAACCTGTAGTATTGTATATATGTGTGTGTGTGTCGTGCAACACACCTACATAAACACAATAGAATTTAAAATGTCTATCCTCAAGTCCGTGCTCTATTAATAAAGTACTGTACTGTAATAGAGAATGGACTTGAGGGTAAACTGTCACATTTTTAATAAATTTGTTTCTGATTATTTGTGAGAGGATTTTCCAATTATTATTTATTTGTATGCATTTTGTGTGTGTCTCTACACACACACACACACACACATATTTACAAAACAGGTAAAGGAAATTTCTGTCTCCAGAACGAATGGCTCCCTGTCTCAGCCGTGAAAATGCCGGCAACTTTAAAACTACCAACAGACATTCTTGGGTACATCCGGGGTGTCATCCGCAAATGATCGAGAACCGTGAAGTAAAAATCTGTGAACTTGGGGGGCCCCTTGTACATGTCAACAAATAAAAGGTAATGGCTTTTTTCATTTTGAATATATTTATAATTTTGTATTTACAGGGATCCAAAAGCTGCCATTTGACTACAACAAGATGGGTGAATATGAACGGCAGAAATACCTGTCCAGAGATTATCACAACGTGACAGGACCTAATGCTACAAGAGCAAATTCTGTAAACGTGGAGGAAGTCATAGAGTTTCTCAAGTCAGTCACCCCAGAGAACTGTCACATGTTTCCTCCAGATGATCTATTACTCCAGGGTGACATTGGCTTTGGGATGGAGAAGCAGTTTGAGAATGAAGCTAGGATGGCACTTCGACTTGCAAACTTTTTAAGTGCATTCATGCAGGTGAGATAATTTCCCAGAGCTAATGATTTTGTACATTAATTATGTCTGTACCTATGTGAAGAAAGAATTACCATATTTGATGGAATTAATTTAATTCTTTTCTCCCTAGCTCGTGAACCACAATGAAATATTCTCGGGTGTACGTGTGGTTGACCGGCCACTGACAGAAGACCAAATGATGGGTGAAGTGTTGTCAATAATCTTGGGTAATAGCAGGGTAGGTACTTGTTCTCTACTTTATTTTAAGGTACCAATTTCCCTCTTACATTTGTCAGTTTTTTTTGCTAAGTCTGCATTTATCACTGTGTATTTGATGAATATTGTATCAATGTTTCTAACTTAACTCCTCCATAGGGTATTAATTTGATATACCGTATATACTCGTCTATAACCCCCCTTCGTATATAGGTCGACCCCGATTTTTTGACCAAGAAATCGTTAATTTATGATATTCCTCGTTTATAGGTCGACCCAAGTTTTTGAGGGTAAAGGAACAACAAAACCTTCAGAGAAACACTACGTCCTATAAACTTGTTTACCATTTATTATTACGACACTTTACACTGAAATGTGGGTAGTTTCAACAAAAATATTGTATATTTCCATTCAAGTATTTATTCAAGTCAACTAGGAGGGAATATCATTGTAATACAACAGTTTTTTAACTAAACCATTCGAAAAGTGATTACGGTAACATCTTTTGAACGAAAGAAAGCCAAAGTCATTGTTTTCATCACAATTTTATCCCACTTTCCACTTTAATACGTACGTCATTTCAGCAAAAATATTACATTTCCGTGAATGTATTATATCAAGCACAGTATGAATAGAATATCATTGTATTATAACAGAATTTTAACCGAAAACTATTAAAAAAACGAATAACATCTCAAGAACATCGGAAGCTTAGGTAAAGTCTTTTGTTTTCGACATGTATTTTATCCTAATTTACATTGAAATACATCACGTTTCAGCAAAACTACTATTTATTTCCGAGAATATATTCATTCAGGCGCAGTTTAGGTAAAATATACGTGTGATGTAATAGTTTTTTAACTGAAAACGATTCGAAAAACACGTACCCTCTAGCCCTGTTCAAGGAGAGGACTGGGAGAAGCTGTTTGGTGCTGCAGACGATGACAAAGAAAATGATTTTGATGAATTTTAATGAATATATTCAGAAATATGGTATCGTAATATTTATTCAAGTCAATTAGGATATTATTGTAATACAATACAACAGTTTTTTAACTAAACCATTCGAAAAGTGATTACGGTAACATCTTTTGATGGAAAGAAAGCCAAAGTCATTGTTTTCATCACAATTTTATCCCACTTTCCACTGTAATACGTATGTCATTTCAGCAAAAAATATTACATTTCCGTGAAGGTATTATATCAACCACAGTATGAATAGAATATCACTAATATAACAGTATTTTAACCGAAAACTATTAAAAATACGAGTAACATCTCTTGAACATCGGAAGGTTAGGTAAAGTCTTTTGTTTTCTGCATGTAGTTTATCCTAATTTACATTGAAATACATCACGTTTCAGCAAAACTACTATTTATTTCTGAGAATATGGAAATGTAATATTTTTGCTGAAATGACGTACGTATTACAGTGGAAAGTGGGATAAAATCGTGACAAAAACAATGACTCGCTTTCTTTCGTTCAAAAGATGTTACCGTAATCGCTTTTCGAATGGTTTTCAGTTAAAAACTGTTATATTACAATAATATTCTATCCTAATTCACTTGTGATGTAAAAGTTTTTTAACTGAAAACGATTCGAAAAACACGTGTACCGTCTAACTGATACGGCAGAGCCCTGGTCGCGAGGCTTTGTGTTTGCATCGGCCCTTCTTAAGCAGCTTTTAATTTTAGCGTACGTTGAAATTGTGTTTACCGGTGTATTCTTATTTTCTTGCTTCTTATTTTCCAGAAATATGACAAGTTTTTATATAATACAATGTTACGGTACTTTTAATTTACAAGTATTCATTTTTAAAAATACAGAAGACACCAAACAAATACTAGTACGGATATTTGCGTGACTCTCCCGCCAAAAAAGACCAAACAGCTGGTACTCTCTCCCTCAGCCCTACCAAAAATAGCCCAACATCTTTCTTGTTTATTCTCTTCCAATTTCTCACTTTAACTGGTATTTTTTTACTTCATATTGCCTACATCAGATAAACTACAGTAATTGAGGTTAGATATTGTTATAAATTTGATTACCGGGTCCTGGCAGGTATCGTTAGAACCACCTGACCCTACCAACAGTGTTGCAAGTCAGACAGCATTTTTTTTTTTTTACATTTTTGGTGTCTCCATTTGTTAATTTTTTTTCTGTGGGGTTTGCACAATAGTATACTGTTTTACCTACAGTATTGTAAAACGATTTGGGAAAAGAAATACTCGGTAACTTAAAATTTTAAAAGGAAAATTTTGAAACTGGCAACTGTGTGTAGATGATCTGACTCACATCATATTATGTCATTACGATTAGCCCACGTGTATACTTTATGTTTTACATACTCCTGTGCTACCATACCATGCATTTGGCTACTTTGGGCTTGCTATGATGACGCAAGAGATCTGCCCTGGCAACTGTACCGACACTCACAGCGGGTGGTGCGTTGGTGCGTCGTTTCCATTGTTTACTGGTAGTTACTGGTAAATATTTTTCAACCTAACGAAACTATTACCCGTATAGAGGTCGACCCCCAACTTTTTGCCAAAAAATTTGGTCTTAAGAACTCGTGCTATATACGGGTATATACGGTAATTGTGATCTTCTTAAACTGAAAGGTCCAAGATATTAAGGGAGATGCATTTCTTTCACAGGTGTAGGTGTGCTTAGTTCCATATTAATTTCTTCCCCTCCATCAAATGAGATATTTCTCAATACAGCTCCTCCCCGACTTACTACAGGGTTAGGGACCCAAATCCAGGTCATAAATCGAAAATGCTTAAATAATACAGTGGTCCCTCGGTTAACGAGCACAATCCGTTCCAGCAGGTTGCTCGTTAACCGAAAATCTCGTTAACTGAAACCATTGTTTCAATGGGTTTTTGGGTAATTGGTTCCAGCTCACTGAAAATTGCCTGAATTCAACAAAAATTTTAGAAATTGACATTTACCTTGAGGTGTGTATGTAGAAGGCTCCTGGATGATGATGCTGATGTGAATTTGAAGTGGGAGGTGGAGGAGGAGAAGGGAGAAGAGAAGGGAGTGGAGGTGGAGGAGAAGCATTTTACTGCTTCTTGGAAGGTGAGTCACCTTCCATGAAAATATCAGGAACCTCTGGACTGACATTTTCTCCACCATGAACATCATCTCTCCTTCTTGAAGTGGAAGGCTGAGGGATAGCATCTTGTTCCCTCTGCCTTTTATTGAAGAAAGTGTCAATTGTGGTCTGTGGGGCATCTCTCCTCACCATTAACTTATGTTTAAAGAAGGAGAACCATTGAATCCTCAACATGACACAAAGTTAGTTAATTTTTTTCCACATCTGGGTGCTTTGAAGCCAGTTCCCTGAACTTCTCCCAGTGGTAAATCACATCTTTCAACTCTTTAGTTGACATATGGTCATCACTTTCAATTTCCTCCTCATCACTGTTAGCCTCTAACATCTCATCCAATTGCTTCAACTCATTAGGAGTAAGTTCCTCCTCATGAGACATCACAAGCTCTTCGACATCATCCTCTTCCACTTCAAGGCCCAATGACTGACCAATGGACACAATCTCCTGGTCCAACTCTGTTTCTTCCTCAAATCCCTCAAAATCATGGACTACTGATGGCCACAGTGCTTTTCATGAAAAATTGAGGGATCTAGTGGAGACTTCTTGCCATGATGACACAATCAATTTTACAGCCTCCAGGATGTTGAATTGTGTCTTCCAGAACTGTTTCAGTGTTAGTTCAGGATCATTGGAAGTTGCCTGATGACACCTCCTAAACATTTTCTTCATGTACAACCTCTTGAAGTTGCTGATCACATTCTGGTCCATTGGCTGTATGATTGATGTAGTGTTGGGAGGCAAAATCAACACTTTCACAAAGTCAAATTGATACTCCGAATTTCTGGCAAGGTCAGGGTCATGACCAGGAGCATTATCCATGAGGAGAAGAGCCTTTAAGGGGAGTTTATTGGTGGTTAGGTAGCTCTTGACAGAAGGGCAAAACACATCAACAGCCCATTCATTAAAGAGCTGTCTTGTCACCCATGCCTTACGGTTGGACTTGCAATAAACTCCAAGTTTGTTCTTACCACTTTCTGTTGCTTGAACACCCTGGGGTTTTCAGAGTGGTAGACAAGCATAGGCTTCAGTCGGAAATCCCCTGAAGCATTGGCACCAAGCCATAGAGTGAGACGGTCTTTCATGGGTTTATGCCCAGGTAAAGAGGCTCATCTCTGGTGATGAATGTTCTTTTGGGCATCTTTTTTCCAGAACAGCCCAGTTTCGTCCACATTGAACACTTGCTGTGGAAGATAATTTCCTCCTTCCATCAGTTCTTTAAATTCCACTAAAAACTTTGCTGCCCTTCCTTATCAGCACTAGCAGCTTCACCATGCCTAACAACACTGAAAATGTCATTTCTTTTCTTAAATTTTTCGAACCAGCCTTTGCTGGCCCAAAGATCTTCAAATTCTGTGCCTGAATTACCAGGTTGATCTGTCTTTAAATGTTCGTATTTCTCCCGGGCTCTTTCACAAATAAATTCATGAGAAAGTGAATCATCTTTCATCTGTTTTTCCATGATCCGGATGAGAAGTAACCTCTCAGTTTCTGCAATTAGGGATCTACTTTTAAACACTCTGGTAGATTTGTCTCACTTTCACTTCTTCAAATTTTTCTTTCTGTGCAAGAATTGTCGAAACTTTTGATGTCGACATTCCAGATTCTTTGCATAGCGCATTTGTTCTAATGCCTTCTTCATGTTTTTTTTTTTATAATTTCCTGCTTGGTTTGCATTGAAATCGCTCTTCTTGATCTCTTAGGCCCCATGCTGGATTCAAACAATCTCAACACGTGATATTTTAAGTTTAAACTTGCTGTAAATAAAGAATATTTTCTTTAAAATAACATTGCACTGCGTTATATACTGTCAATATGTAAAATATATTTCAAAAGGACCAATACAGGTAGTTTTATTGGAAACACAGAAAAAAAAATTTACTTGAAGAGAGTCTCACTCAAGATGTTA